AGGGAGAGAAAGGGGGGGGAGAGAGAGAAAGGGGGGGAGAGAGGCTAAGCAATCACGGTAAAACAAGTGAAACACAACGTTTCGGAACCATTGGTGGGTTACCCGTTGCCTGATGAAGGGCCACTAATGGTTCAGAAACGTTGTGTTTCACTTGTGTCACTGTGATTGTTTAGCATCTTTATAAAAGGCGTTCTACACATTGGAGTGCGGGTGACTTCTTTTCAGCATTTGGATTCTCGCGGCGCCATCCGCAGGCCATACCAGCACCTATCCTATTACATATGGGATTCCGGTCTGGAGTGCGGCAGGACAGACCGTTGGCGTGTAAGTGAATTCTCATTCTATTTTGCTCCTTGTTGACCATCATCGGTGCCAATGACAGGGATGCGTCTTTTGCGCGGTCTCAGGGTCACCCCAGTAAAACGGTGATGCAACCAAGTACCCAAAGTGACATTCAATACCCAAAGCAACCAATCAGAATCCATCTTGCAGCGTCTGACTGCAGTCAATTGGATTTTGATGTTTTAAGCTTTGCACTTCATGTTCATGTTTTGTTTTTTTTTTGGACTCGGGTCTTGGTGCCAAAAAAAGAGCCCCTCTTTCTCAGCTCGGAAACTTGGTAAGTATGCCAGTGTGCTTCGCTTAAACTGGCGCGCCTCCAGCCCCGCAGCGGCAGACCGGAGTAATTAAAAAATATACGCGCGGCCCATAAAGAGCGCATTTCTGTCTAACCAGCAGGTGCAGGGAGAGGTGTCGGGGGTCCCTCCGGAACGTTCGGCAGTTATCCCCGCTGTCAGCCATAAAGATAGCCAAGCAAGTGCGCTTAAAGCACCGTCTCCCCACCGCCGCTGCATTTCCGTTCATTACCCCGCGCGCGCGCTATGGTGAGAGCGGATCGATGCTAAAAGCTACTCTGAGAACATTGCCCTATTTACGTACGGGCTTCCTGTGTGAAATCGCTGCGCGGCACATGTGCTCATCTGTCTTACAACTGACAACGCACTTCCAACGACTCCCATGGCAGCCGCTACCAGGGGCTGGGGCTAGAACAGGCAGCCGTAATTATCACTCCCCTCATCACTCTGTGCAGCTTGTAATTTGTCAGACAGAGCAAAAAAAAAAGCATGCCAAAGCTTAAAAGGCAAAAATTGGCTTTTGGGCCGATTTTTGCGGAGCGCTGCACTTGGGCCGCTTCCTTAGTTTACGGCCCTCGGGAGAGCGGAGGGCTGCGTAACGTTGAAGCCCTGATTGGAGTACAGCCGTGCTCAGACTGATTGGCAATGCCATGGATGCCTATTGCGTTATCGGAGCATCTTTGGCAGCAGGTCAACAACCAGACTGCCAGTGCAGGTGATTCCAGATAAGGGCTCAGGCATCCAGACAGCTGAGGGCTGTGCGATAACAAGCCCTTATCGGAGTATAGCAGTGCCAAGACAGACAGCTTGTTAGGGGAAGTGACAGCAATGGCAGATACTGATTCAGTTATCAGAACATCCATGGTTGCAAAATCCAGCCTAGAAGGCAGAGGATTTCAGATAAGGCTTCAGCGTCACACAGCTCTGCTCTCTGTAAGTTCTGTGCATTATGAGCACAATAAAGCTTTCACCAAATAGAATATCTTTTTTATGAACTCCTCCGACATACACTATATTACCAAAAGTATTGGGACGCCTTTACACACACATGAACTTTAATGGCATCCCAGTCTTAGTCCATAGGGTTCAGTATTGGGTTGGCTCCGCCCTTTGCCGCTATAACAGCTTCAACTCTTCTGGGGAGGCGTCCACAAGGTTTAGGAGTGTATCTATGGGAATGTTGGGCCATTTGTGAGGTCAGGTACTAAACCGCCAAACCCAGACACGCCCATCGGATTGCCAGACAGAGAAGCGTGATTGGTCCCTCCAGAGAACACGCCTCCTCTTCTCTAGAGTCCAGTGGCGGCGTGCTTTACACCACGGCATCCCACGCTTTGCATTGCACTTGGTGATGTAAGGCTTGGATGCAGCTGCTCGGCCATGGAAACCCGTTCCATGAAGCTCTCTGAAGGCCGCACCAAGTTTGGAGGTCTGTAGCTCTTGACTCTGCAGACAGTTGGCGACTTCTGCGCACTGTGCGCTTCAGCATGCGCTGACCCCGCTCTGTCATGTTACGAGGCCGACCACTTCCTGGCTGAGTTGCTGTTGTTCCCAGTTGCTTCCACTTTGTTATAATCCCAGTGACAGGTGACCGCGGAATATTTAGTAGCCGGGAAATGTCACGGAACACCTGAATCCAATGATTTGGAGGGGCGTCCCAATACTTTTGGCAATATAGTGTATTTCCTCACTTGCTTCTTTTGCATATCTTTCTCTCTCTCATATATATATATATATATCTCTTAAGCCACATTTCTCAACCCTAATCAATAAGGCTTATGTATTATAGGTATGGGCATGCCAAGGCCTGACTTCTAACTGCCTGAGAGTACTTTACACATGCTGTACACGGCAATAACTGTCAAGTCAAAAATTCCCAAACCGTCCGTGTAGCACCTTGTCAAAGAGGTTGCAGGATCTTGGCAAACGTTCAGAATCTTATAATAAAAACAATTAAAAAGACATGAGGATAAGAGATAAAACGTGGAATTCTCTAAAGTTTTGGATAAAGCGGAGAAGGATTACAACCTCTGTCAGGTTTGCATAATTGAATACTTCCCCAATAGAGGGGAAAAACAGCCCTAAAAACCTGACAGACGTTCTTACCTTTCCCCCAACGGATCAGAAACTTTCAAGAAAAGAAAAAACGTTTACAATATATTATAGATTCATTATTTATTTACCTCTCTGAGGGATTTGAGGAGACAGACAAGGTGGTGGTGCCGCAGGAGAGAAAAAGAGGGGGAGAAGGGGGGACAGAAAAGAGGAACAGAGAATAGAGAGAAGGGGGACAGAGAATAGAGAGAAGGGGGACAGAGAGGAGAGAGAAGGGGGACAGAGAGGAGAGAGAAGGGGGACAGAGAGGAGAGAGAAGGGGGACAGAGAGGAGAGAGAAGGGGGACAGAGAGGAGAGAGAAGGGGGACAGAGAGGAGAGAGAAGGGGGACAGAGAGGAGAGAGAAGGGGGACAGAGAGGAGAGAGAAGGGGGACAGAGAGGAGAGAGAAGGGGGACAGAGAGGAGAGAGAAGGGGGACAGAGAGGAGAGAGAAGGGGGACAGAGAGGAGAGAGAAGGGGGACAGAGAGGAGAGAGAAGGGGGACAGAGAGGAGAGAGAAGGGGGACAGAGAGGAGAGAGAAGGGGGACAGAGAGGAGAGAGAAGGGGGACAGAGAGGAGAGAGAAGGGGGACAGAGAGGAGAGAGAAGGGGGACAGAGAGGAGAGAGAAGGGGGACAGAGAGGAGAGAGAAGGGGGACAGAGAGGAGAGAGAAGGGGGACAGAGAGGAGAGAGAAGGGGGACAGAGAGGAGAGAGAAGGGGGACAGAGAGGAGAGAGAAGGGGGACAGAGAGGAGAGAGAAGGGGGACAGAGAGGAGAGAGAAGGGGGACAGAGAGGAGAGAGAAGGGGGACAGAGAGGAGAGAGAAGGGGGACAGAGAGGAGAGAGAAGGGGGACAGAGAGGAGAGAGAAGGGGGACAGAGAGGAGAGAGAAGGGGGACAGAGAGGAGAGAGAAGGGGGACAGAGAGGAGAGAGAAGGGGGACAGAGAGGAGAGAGAAGGGGGACAGAGAGGAGAGAGAAGGGGGACAGAGAGGAGAGAGAAGGGGGACAGAGAGGAGAGAGAAGGGGGACAGAGAGGAGAGAGAAGGGGGACAGAGAGGAGAGAGAAGGGGGACAGAGAGGAGAGAGAAGGGGGACAGAGAGGAGAGAGAAGGGGGACAGAGAGGAGAGAGAAGGGGGACAGAGAGGAGAGAGAAGGGGGACAGAGAGGAGAGAGAAGGGGGACAGAGAGGAGAGAGAAGGGGGACAGAGAGGAGAGAGAAGGGGGACAGAGAGGAGAGAGAAGGGGGACAGAGAGGAGAGAGAAGGGGGACAGAGAGGAGAGAGAAGGGGGACAGAGAGGAGAGAGAAGGGGGACAGAGAGGAGAGAGAAGGGGGACAGAGAGGAGAGAAGGGGGACAGAGAATATAGAAAGAAAAAAAGAGTGCGCCCCATAGAGCGCACATAATAGAGACATATACACAAGACCTCTATAAAACCCTCCACAATGCAGCCACTGAGGGAGAAAAAAAATCCAATCCTCCCTGTTAATGGCTGCTCTAAAGATGGGCTTTTCAGGGTATTGTCGGGGCGAGTTTTCGATCCCTGCGGAGCATTAGAGGCTGTGATTAAGTGGCACGCTGCACTTAGAGGCCAGGCTGCAGTGTTTGTGTTTAATATTCTCGGGGGGTCGGGCAATATTCATCTGCAGGGGAATTAACTGCACAGACCTCTCAGCCTTTTAGATGCTCTTACCTCGGAACCCCGTCCCCTGCAGACCTCTGAGCCAGCTTAGGAAATGCAATTCTTTTTAACCCAAAGAAATCGGCTGTGTGAGTGCACAGGAGAACAGACAGGGGGGGTAGCTCCGGGCAATGGGTATGTCACCAGCAAGGAAATCTCCAGGTTTATATAAGAAGAATCCAAAAGCAGACAGACAAGCTGGATCATAGAAGGAAGCAACACGCATATGTTGAAAACTGTGTCCCCTTTCCTCCTTTCCTCCATAGCAAAGGAAGTCATCTCCCATAGGTCACAAAGACAACAATGGCTTCCAGGACAGCCGCCTGAAAAGGCTTTTTATATTTAATAGGAAATACCAGGTTTGTGTTTAAAGCTAAACTCCAGGCAGATCTATAAACACACGATGAATGCAGCTCTGTATGCATTAATATATCATTAAAATGTATCGACCTGAAAATGTAAGCAGTTTTAAGTACCTGAATTTGACTCGGTATCAGCCTCTTGCAATCCTTGCACAGCAGAGCTCAGGTTATGGGAAGGAGAAGCAGCACAAGGAGCCAATCAGTTATGCTGCAGTGTTCATGTGCTAACAAGGAGCATGCTGATAAGGGGGAGAGAGCAAAGGGAGAGAGAGAGATGAGCTCATCAGTCTGCTGCTTCTCTTTTTCAATGTCAAATCACAGGCTTGGGGGGGGGGGGGGGAAAACCTGGACG